GTGCTTCGCGCTACCACGTGCTTCACAAAGAAGCGAATCCTTGGCGCTGGGCGCGCCCCCGCTAGCCCATCCAGAGTCGATCGCAGGAAGAACAGAAGGACCTGACGAGGACAAGAGGATGAGGAGGCGGCCTGAGCGGACATGTTGTTGTGAGAGTTTCTTGGAGAGGACTCCTGGAGCCATCTTCGGGCTCGCTTGGGGTCCCCGTGGGGCATCTTGAGGCACTCTTGGGGCCCTTTTGGGGCTCTTCTGGAGGGTTTCGGGGGCTCCTTGGGGTACTTCGGGATGGGTTGAGGGCGGCCCTCTTGGGAGGGCTTGGGCCCCCATAGACAACGAAAGTGGATAGCTGTAATCCAGGTCCCCCCTCGGAGGCCGAATGAATGCGTCTTGAGGCCCTCGACGCAGGCGAGCGCCGGCAGTTTCCCGTGAGGTCCGGCGCCACGAGCGCCACGGACTGGCTGGAGCTGGCCGCGCGGCTCGACCCAGGCGCCAGAAGCCCACGCCGACCCGTGGGTCACCAGCTGCCGGTCTTCGTACCCATTCGGTAAGACTTCCTGCGCAGCAGCAGCTGCTGCTGCTGCTGCTGCTGCTGCTGCTGCTGCTTGCTCCTTCCTCTGGCGGTCCTGCTCCCTGCGAGCCGCCAGCGCCTGCCTCGCATGGGCAGTCTGCGCCCGCCCCTCTTCCACTGGTTCGTGGTGTGCTCATCTTGCCGCAGCAAAGAAGGCACAGGGTCAGTCTGACCCCGGCTGGTTCCCGGAGCAGCCCTCACTTGTTGCGCCACGTGTTTGGGGACCTCTCGTTCCCCTTGGCCTCCACGTGGGCCTCACTCTGAAGTGGTTGATTTCGCCTCTCCCCCTGGAGCCCTGCGTAGTACTCGGCCCTGGCCCGTACTTGCACGCCGGCTCTTTTTGTCCTCGGTCGGAACTTTGCTTTTCCTATGCGCAGTCTGCGCTCGGGTAGGTTACAGTATCACCTCGTAGCTACAAGCACGTGTAAGCTTGGACCAACATGGTTACGGATGCGCTGCGTGCTCGTCCAAAGGGAATAAATCAATGCAAGTATACAGCATGCTGCGGTGAGCGCGGAATGGTGCCACCAGACCGGCCTTGAGACAGGCGTGCCGCGGGAGCGCCGAGTGGCGCCATCAGACCGGCCTCGAGACAGACGTGGGACGATCACGGTTCCCGGGAAGAAGCAGACGGCGAAGCCACAGCCCAGGGGACGATCACAGCACCCCCGAAGAAGCAGACGGCGAAGCCACAGCCCCGGGGACTATCATGGCACCCTCAACCGCGGCGAGCGCCGAATGGCGCCACCAGACTGTCCTTGAGATAGACGTGCCGCGGTGAGCGCCGAGGGGCGTCCCAGACCAGCCTTGAGACAGGCATGGGACGATCACGGCTCCCCGCAATGAAGCAGACGGTGAAGCCACAGCCCGCGGGACGACCCAGAAAAGCGCAAGCCTCATTGGCGAACGCGCTGCGTAGTTGTCCTGGCCGCGTGGCCGATGCAGGCGGGCGCAAGCCTAATTGGGTCAGACTGCGCACTGGCAACCGGCCACATAGCTGGGGCTCGTTGGCTTCCTTCGCCTGGCCCGCGGAGAGGATTGCACCCTATTTGTAAATCCCTCGTGGGAGCTCTAGGACCTCTGGGGCCTGAGGGACCTCTCCACACTGTCTGTGTATGTGTTCGTGTTTGTGTTTATGCCTGTGTTTGTGCTTGTGTTTCTGCGTGTGCTTGTGTTTGTGCTTGTGCTTGTGCTTGTTTGTGTGTGTGTTGTGTGTGTGTGTTGTGTGTGCGCGTGTGCGTGCGTGTGTGTGTGTGTGTTCGTGTGTGTGTGTGTGTGCTTGTATCTGTGTCTGCGTCTGTGTCTGCGTCTGTGTCTGTGTCTGTGCTTGTGCTTATGCTTCGCCTTTGCTTTTGCTTTTGCTTGTGTTTGTGCGTGTATTGCGTCGCTGTTTATACTAATGTTTCCGTTTCAGTTTCGGCTTGTGCTTGCGCTTGTTATTGTGCTTGTGCGTGTGCTTGTACTTGTTCGTGTGCTTGCACTTCTGTTTGTGCTTGTGCTTGTGCTCTTGCTCATGCCTGTGCTTGTGTCTGTGCCCGTGCTCGTGTGTGCGTGCGTGCGTGCGTACGTACGCGTGCGTGCGTGTTCCCCGCTTCACTGCATCACCCACCTTGCCCAGGGGGGAGGGACGAGAGGGGCAGGAGGAGAAGGGCCCTCCGGAGCAAGGACGGCGAGGCCGACGGCCGCGGCCCCGCGTCGCTGCCCGCGGGCCCTGGCCCGTCGGGCGGCCCGTGCTGCGGCGACGTCATCCACGCCACGCTGGGCGCGGTGGTCGGCCCCGAGCTGCTGCGGGAGCCCTCCGGGGGGGGGAGGGGCCCGGATACGCAGACCCGAGTCGGGCATGTCCCTCTGCAGGAGGAGTATTCAAAAATAGGCAAAGCGTGGAATGGGGACGATTTTTTTATTTCTGAATATATATTTTGATTCTACTCTTGAGCTGCTTCCTGTTTTCGTCCAAAATCCGCCTGTGGCGGGACATGCCCGACCTAAACCCAGACCTCCAGCGTCATGAAAAAACGAGGGCGGAAGTGGTTCTGGATTTTCCGCCTCGGGGGGCCGTCCGCAGGCCTTGGGGCCGCCGGGAAACGACGAGGAAGGGCTGGCCCGAGGGACAAAGGCTGGGACTTCCTGCTGGCGCAGGGCCCAGTAGCTTCGGAGCTTCTGGACTGGACGAAGAGTCGGGGAAGCGTAAGACTCTAGCCAGAACTCGGGTTTGCCGACGTTTTTTGACGAGCGCCTTCTGGATTTTGATGGTCCGATTTTCGTGGGATGCTTGCAGCGGGAGCTCGCGTCAAATTTCTGGTTGGGCCTCGTCATTTTTATGATGGCCCCGTCAGGCCAACCCGAGTCTCCCGTGCACGAGTCGCACGTCTCCCCGAAAGAGCTGGCCACAAGGAAAGGGCCAGGACTCCCGGGGACCCCAAATTGGGAGGGAGGAGGAGGAGGAGGAGGAGGAGGAGGAGGAGGAGGAGGAGGAGGAGCGGAGGAGGAGGAGGAGGAGGAGGAGAGGAGGAGGAGGAGGTGGAGGTGGAGGAGGAGAGACGGGTCGATGATCGAGGTTTCTGTATGTCTTCAGTCCTATGTGGGAGGCGTCGCGTCGCCACGGCTGGATTCCCTGGGAAGTTCTGGTCGGAAGGCGCCCGGGGGGCACGTCCTGGATGATGATTTGGGGTTCTGCTCCCAGGCCCCCTCGCGTTGTGGAAAAACAGTACGGCATATTGTGTTGACAACTTTCGGTGTGCGCCTCCCTTTTCTTTGTCCTCCTCCCTCCTCTTCTTCCTCCCCGTTCCCCTCGTTTCATTACTCATCGTCCCCCTCATTCTATTTTCCCTCCTCCGACTTGGGAGGCAGAGAAGAAAGGGCCAGACACTTCCCATCCAATCCATGAGAACGCCCGAACACCTTCCGTCCCTATCGGCGTATATCTAGTGACCTTCGGCCATGGTGCTACAGTGCCCTGGTTGCAGTTCAGAGGCCTCCTGGACGCTATGGGGATCTTTCGGGAGGGGTCTCGGGAGCCTCGTGGAGGCGGTTCTGGGGGTGTCTTGAGGCCTCCTGGGTCCCCCCTGCCTACGATCCAGTGCGATTCGATCCGATTCGCTGGCGGGGTCCCCGATTCCGATTCGATGCGATTCGGCTCTGCTCACCCCTGCCAGGGCCAGCCAGGGCCAGTCGTGGCGACACGGCGTCGCTTCGATTCGGGACGATCCGCTGGCGATCCGATCCGCTTCCGATCCGATCCCGAGACTGGATCCAGTGAAAGCTCGAGAAGGCGCCTCGCGGCTCGACGGCGAGGGGCTCCGGGAAGGTCCTTGGGCCCCGCAGGGTCCCCCGCTGGCGGCGTGCCGCGAGCAGCTGCCCCCAGGGGGCCGATCCGGTCCGACGCCGCGATTCGATCGGGGAGCGGGGAGGAGGAGGAGGAGGAGGAGGAGGAGGAGGAGGAGGAGGAGGAGGAGGGAGGAGGAGGAGGAGGGAGGAGGAGGAGGGAGGAGGAGGAGGAGGAGGAGGAGGACCAGTGTAAACCCAAGACTGATCCACGGTATTACAATAAACCCTCCCTCCACAGGTTCCCTCTTCACAGGCCCCTGCAAGGGCTCCTTCTCCGTGAGGGAGGTATGGCCCGTTGGAAGACGGCCGTTCGAAAACCCAGAACTGTCCCAGAACACCCTTCCTGGGCTTCCCACGCCGCGAATCATTTTTGTACTGCTGCTGAGTCCTGGCGATCCTGAATCGCGCCAGAACAGCGTTCCTGGGACTCCCACGCCTCGAAACACCATTACTGCTGCTGCGCCCTGACGATTATGACTCGCGCCAGAACGCCACGTAAAGAAGCGGGGTCGTCTGCGCCAACACTGGCGCGTAAGCTGCCCGCGTAAGGTCGCGCGTAGACGCCTTCGTCGCCAGTGCAGCGTGCCGCGCAGGTGGCCCGCGCAAGGTCGCTGTGCCATCTCGCGCAGGACTCGTTTTTGATCGTTGCTCACTTGCCTGTTGCGCCCCGACATTCCGACATCGTGCCAGCGATCCGAGCCGAATGCTGGCGTTAAATCGGGCGTGTCCCCCTAGAGGCGGATTTTAGACGAAAAACAAACAACACCTCAAACATGTGCAAAAAATACAAGGAAATGCTCAAACAATCGTCCCCATATTATTTTTTGACTTTGTTGAAAATTCCCCCTGTAGAGGGGCAGGCCCGACTTACGTAATGCTGGCGCCCTTCTACCCAGAGCCGGCGGGACCGGTGGCCGCGGCCCTGGCGCTGCCCACGGAGCCCGTGGCCTTGCACCTGGGGGGCCAAGGCACGGCCTGGCCGCTCGGCGGAGGACGGCGAGGGGGAGGAGGCAAGCTAGGTGCGCTCGCGTCATATCTGACGTCCTACCCCTCCCTCCCATCCCTTACTATGGCGCTGATTTTCTCTATCCGTGGACGCGTGTCGTAGCGGACCTGTGGCTCCGCGCGCGCGTGCGTAGTGGGTGGTGGTGCGCGTGCGTGCGTGCGTGCGTGCGTGCGTGCGTGCGTGCGTGTGTGCGTGGTGCTGGTGCTGGTGCTGGTGCTGGTGCTGCTGGTGCTGGTGCTGGTGCTGGTGCTGGTGCTGGTGCTGGTGCTGTGTGTGGTGCTGGTGCTGGTGGTGGTGGTGGTGGTGGTGGGCGTGTGATGTGGTGTGACGCGGTGTAGCGTGGTGGTGGTGGGTGGGGTAGTGCGGTGGTGGTGGCGGTGCGCGGTGGTGGTGTGCGTGCGTGCGTGCGTGCGTTGGTGGGTGGAAGTGGCGGTGGGTGTGCGTGCGGCGGGGCGGGGCGTGGTGCGGCGCGGTGGTGGCGGGCGGATGGGCGCGCGAGAAAGAGGCCCGCGCTGGGGCGAGAACGCCATCCTGAACGACGGAGGCAAAACACCGATCCGAAAATGAGGCCCACGCTGCAGCGGGAGCACGATCCGGAACGATTCGGGAGCAGAAATGAGGCCGGCGCCTCAGCGAGAGCAGCATTTTGAAACAAACGAAGGCGAAAACCCAACTGCCGGGAATCGTGTGTGTTAAAAACAGTACGCGGGGGGGGGTCTACTACTCCCAGCACGCCATCAGGGGAAGAGGGAGAGTAGTATTCATATTGAGTGATTATAGAAGAGGAGGAGGGTGGAGGAGGAGGAGGAGGAGAGGTAGGAGGAGGAGGAGGAGGAGGAGGAGGAGGGAGGAGGAGGAGGAGGAGGAGGAGGAGGAGGAGGAGGAGGAGGAGGAGGAGGAGGAGGAGGAGGAGGAGGAGGAGGAGGAGGAGAGGAGGAGGAGGAGGAGGAGGAGGAGGAGGAGGAGGAGGAGGAGGAGGAGGAGGAGGAGGAGGAGGAGGAGGAGGAGGAGGAGGAGGAGGAGGAGGAGGAGGAGGAAGGAGGAGGAGGAGGAGGAGGAGGAGGAGGAGGAGGAGGAGGAGGAGGAGGAGGAGGAGGAGGAGGAGGCGGAGGAGGAGGAGGAGGAGGAGGAGGATGAGGAGGAGGAGGAGGAGGAGGAGGAGGAGGAGGAGGAGGAGGAGGAGGAGGAGAGGAGGAGGAGGAGGAGGAGGAGGAGGAGGAGGAGGAGGAGGGAGGAGGAGGAGGAGGAGGAGGAGGAGGAGGAGGAGGAGGAGGAGGAGGAGGAGGAGGAGGAGGAGGAGGAGGAGGAGGAGGAGGAGGAGGAGGAGGGGAGGAGGAGGAGGAGGAGGAGGAGGAGGAGAGGAGGAGGAGGAGGGAGGAGGACGAGGAGGAGGAGGAGGAGGAGGAGGAGGAGGAGGAGGAGGAGGAGGACCAGGCTCCGACCGGAGAGCGCCGAGCTCAGCCCTGCCGAGGCCAGGTGCGGCCCGCCAAGGGCGCAGCCGCGGGGCCACGCAGCGCGCGGGTGCGACGCGGGCCCACGGCGGAGGAGCGCGGGCGCCCCGCCGGGCGCGGCCTCGCCGCGCGCAGGGCCCCGCGGCGGGGGCGGGGCCCCCCTGCCCAGTCCCTCTCCCCTCCTCCTCCCTCCTCCTCCTCCTCCTCCTCCTCATCCTCCTCCTCCTCCTCCTCCTCCTCCTCCTCCTCCCCCTCCTGTAGTTAGTTCGGACCCCTGGAGGAGGAGGAGGAGGAGGAGGAGGAGGAGGAGGAGGAGGAGGAGGAGGGACCTGGGCGGGGCCCCCCCGCTCAGGTCCCCCTACAGGAGGAATATCCAAAAGTTGTCCAGACATAGTTGGTCAAGGGACGATGTTGTTCTATTTTTGACTATGTTTGACTATGTTTGGAATTTCCGTTCGACGATTTGTCAGTTTTCGTCCAAACTCCGCCTGTAGGAGGACATGCCCGGCCTAAACATAGGCCGCGCCGGGGAGCGCCATGGCAGGGTACATTCCGATCTGATTGATCCGAGTCGATGTCGATTTTGACCGGGCCGATCCGATTCGATTCCGACACTCTTGATGGGCAAATTTCCCACCACCGCTACCATAGGTTGGGTGGACGAGAAGGGAGGATGGGCAGGTCCTCCTCCTCGTCCTCCTCCTCCTGCTCCTGCTCCTCCTCCTCCTCCTCCTCCTCCTCCTCCTCCTCCTCCTCCTCTGGTTCCTCCTCCTACATCAGGTAGCGGTGGTGGAAAATGGGCCCATCAACTCCGGCGCGCCGGTGCGGCCTGATGCCTGCAGGGGCGCTGCTGTGCATCCTGGCGCGGCCGATGCGATTCGATTTCGGCTCCGTGCCAAGGCGGCTCCAACGGGGACAAGAGGCGAGGGACAGTCTTCGAGGAACGAAACACTGCAGAAACATCAACTTTCGGAGGTCCGCGCGGATTTGCTCCCAGCGCCGATCCAAGAAATCCGCGCGGACCTCCGACAATTCGTGCTTGTGCAACTGCTTTGTTTCCCGAAATCTCTGCAGGCTGGCTGCGACCGCGGAGAGGCGGTGCGAGAGCGTGTCGGAGGAACCGAGGGTGCGGTTGCCCCTCGTATTCGCCACGAGCGTCGAGGCATGCGCCCAGGCGCGGGCATGTCCCGCCCCCCGCCCCCAGGCCCGCAGGTCCGCCGACGAGGAGGCGACGGTGTTTCAGGAGAAGCCCAGACGGAGACCGAGCAGGACCTACTCCGTATGAGCTTAGCCCCTCTGGACTTAGCCTCCGCCGAGTGCTGACCACGGGCGACAGGGACGTGGCGCCCGAGGCAGGGGGAGCGGGTGTGTGAGACCAGGGCAGGCCATGGAGCCTGCCGAGGAGCAGGTCGCGTTCCAGTGCGCCGTCGCCGCCCTGATGAGCCGCGGGGATCGCGTGGCGGACGGCCCGGAGGAGTCGGCCGTGATCTCCGCAGCAGCCGTGGCTGGTGCCAACACGTGCGCGGTAAATCAGGGGGGGCAGCGAGGGCTGCAGGAGAGGGGGCCCTCTGGGGCCCCTCGAGGAGCCCCTTGGGCCCCAGAGCGACTTGTCAGGCCCGAGGAGTGCACCTTTCCCTCCCCCCCCTTTTTTCTCGGGCGATAGCAAACATGGATCAAGGGGGCGCGGAGTAGCGACGGGTCCCGCCTCCGTGGGAAACCGCGGAGTTCCGCCGCCGAGCGACGCGGCACCGGGCGCATTCTGGGGAGGGCACCTCCCCCGGTCCATGGATTTGGCGACCGCGCGCCACATCCACGGGTCGCTAATCCACGTCTGCGCGCCCCCGACCTCCTGGGGCCCCTCGAGGAGCCCTTTGTGTCGGGCCGCAAAAGGGGGCCTTTCGGGCCCGAGAAGTGCACCTTTCCCCCCCCCCAATTGTCGCCCCCCCCCCCCCCCCCCCCCCCCCTCTCGGGCCCGAGAAGTGCACTTTCCCCCCCCCCACACTTGTCGCTCCCCCCCCCCCCAGTGCGCGGCGCCCTGGGCCGAGGCCACCGCGCCCGCCTCGCGGCGCGGGGCGGGGCGGACAGGCCGGGCGGCAGCACGGGGCGTCGTGCCCTTCTGCGGGCCCTCGGCCGTGCGCTCCCAAGCGTGCATGGTCGTTTCCCATCCACGGTCTTGCCGCTGCTGTGTTTTTTTTGGGGGGTTGGTGTTGTTCATGTGTTTTGTGGCTTTCTTTTTTTGTTTTATGCCTTTGTTGTTCCCCCTCTCCCTCTCGCGGGCTCAAGCCAGGCGCCCAGCGCGCGGCCCGCGGCCCAGCGGCGGCGGGCGCGCGCGTCGGCACCACGCCAGCGAGGGAGCGATCACCCTCGCCCGCGTGGCACAGGAGGCAGCGGCGGCGGCGAGCATCAGCCCGCCATCTCCTTGCGCTTGAACAAGCGCGAGAAGTCCTGGAGGGCCACCACGGGAGCATGGCGAAGAAGTCGTGGGGCTGGGACCGCCAGAACGCCTGGGACAACAGCCAGAAGCAATGGAACGACAGCCACGACTACACTAGCTGTGCTACGTGGGGGTGCAAGGGCTGGGTGCACGACGCCATCTGGGGGCCAGGCTTCCAGTGCAGACAGTGCAAGGCCACCTTCCGCAAGCCGCAGAGCATCAAGAAGGCAGAGTATGCATCGAGTGCTTCCCAGGACGGCAAGGGCCAGGCGAAAGCTCACCAGCGAGGCGGACAGGACGCCGAGAAGAAGGAGCTCTCAAAGGCCCTGGTCCTGATCGCGGAGAAGATCGGCACCATGAAGCTCGATGGCGGAGGACAGCTCGAGACGCAGATGAAGGGACTGGCCCAGCAGATAGCGACCGAGCCGCCACCCAAGCAGAAGTCCAGGCCCGAGAGGCTGGCGGAGGCGGCGGAGGCGCTACGGATCGCCAACAAGCGCTTCACCGCGGTGGCGGCCGAGGTCAAGAAGCAAAGGGCATGGCTTCGCGAGCTCGAGGACAAGATGAGCGACATGGCCGCCAGCGTCGTCGAGAAGGAAGCCACTCTGGAGGCCGTCCACGCGGAGGGCAAAGAGGCCAAGCCGCAGAGCTTCATGCAGCAGCTGATCAGCCAGACCCCAGAGGAGATGGCGCTAGAGGGCCTCATCGACCTGGAGAAGGAGATGGAGCTGGAGGACGCAGAGGTGGACGAGGCGGCACGCCAGGAGGTCGCCGAGGCCAAGAAAAAGGTGCTCGCCGACTTGAAGGAGGGCGCCAAGTCATACGCACACCAGCTGCAGGAGCACATCAGGAAGGCCAAGGAGGCGGCAGCACGCAACAAGGAGACCATCGAGCAGGACGCGAAGAAGAGGAAGGTCGAAGCGCGGCGGCAGGACGAGGCGGCTTCAATGGGGGCAGCAGCGAGTTCTCCAGCCACGGCGCCAGCAGCACCCAATGAGGCAGCAGAGATGGCGGTAGAAGAAGACGAAGATGCTGACCTGGAGGAAGAGGTGCTCGCCAAGGCCAGGACCAAGCTCGCTGAAGCCAGCGGGCCTGCCGCTCGGCCAGAGTGACTAGCGCGACCTGGCGCCCGCCCAACCAGGACCGACAAGGGCGTCAGGCAAATCTTCGTCGGCAACATCACGACGTGGGGCCCTACTGTGGAGTCGTGGCTTCGGGACCAGCACCTGAGGATCGACGGCAACAAGCACAGTGGGCAGGGATTCGACACGTACCTGATCCAGGAGACTCATCTCCGCCACCACCAGTTGGAGGAGAAGGAGGCACTCCTGAACAAGTGGGGTCTGAAGGCGTGCTTTGCGGCATCCCAACCCTCCACCAAGTCCGCGGGGGGCTCGAGAGGAGGCGTTATGATAGCCACGAGATCGCACTTCAAGAGCTCGTTCTTTCGGGAGTTTGCGGCGTACGGCAGTGTTTCGGGGGCTACTGCTGGAAACCGTGGAATACAAGAACAAGCTGCAGGATAAGATCTGGGTCTACTTCAGATGGAGGACTGGACCGCGATGACGTGGCACCTCAAGGGCTACAACCTCGTGGTCATTTCCCTGTATCTGAGGTGCGACCACCCGCTGAAGGAGGGCGCCAATGCGAGGCGATTGGCGGAAGTGGCGAGGTTCACCAAGGCGCTGCGCACGCCATGGATTACCGCAGGGGACTTCAACGTCAGCCCGACCAGGTTCGCGGCGGAGGGCTTCTGCGACTACCTGGGCGACGCGCGCATCTACGCCATGCCAGGCAACGCGCCGACCTGCTACAAGGCCGACGCGGGGCCATCTCTCATCGACTTTGTGCTAGCGAGCCCCGAGGCGTGCAGGCACATCATCCAGCTCGAGGCGGTGGCAGAGGTCAGCTGGAAGCCGCATATCGGCCAGAAGCTAACCCTCAAGGCACAACTCGAGTTCAACATCACCAGGGTGCTGAAGATGCCACAGGCGTTCTGCCACCCGAAGCGAGACATGCGGAAGAAGCCCAACCCAGAGAGCAAGGCACAGAGGAGGAAACGACAACTTCAACAGGAGCGAGCAGACCGACCAGCGCACGAGCCTCAACGAGAACACGAACGACCTCCAGTTGAAGTCTCATGCACGAGATGGGGAGCGATCGTGCCTATCGGATGGACGTCATTCCCGTTTCAAACAGATGGAGATCCCCCTGACGCTCTTCTCGAGGAATGGGGCGCAACACGTACGGAGAAGCCCGTGACATGGGCTAATGAGACCTGTGACATAGGTCACCAGACAGAGAAACGCAATAAGGCCTGTAACAGAGGCCAGGACACAGAGGAGCTACCAGAGCCAGAAGCCCCAGAGCAGAGGCCTGTGACAGAGGCCAGCAGATGCGGAAGCGCAACACGAGCCAGAACAGACATGGACAACCCCGAGGCGGACCTCATCGAGGAAGACCCCGAGGAGTGGTACATCACACAAGAGGAACTCCTACCACCAGAACTCGAAGGGCTCTTATCAGGGGACCATGCGGTAGACAGCCCACCGAGGCTTCACACCGCAAGGGCCCCTCCAGCAGCCTCAGGAACGGGTGAAGGCTCTGATCCTGGGACTGAGGCGGCTGGCCAGGTGCAAGGTAGCAGCCAATGGGAGGACGTCGACGCAGGCGACAGTGACTTGGAGGAGGCGGTCACAGTCAACACGAAGCAGACGAGGGAGCTTGACACCATCGCGATGCACGGCGTGTGGGGCAAGTACTACGAGATGCGGCACGACTCTGATAAGGTGGCCGCGCCGGCGTACATCAGCCGCTCGGCTGCGTTCCAGGCGACAGAGAAGCAGGCGAACTCGTTAGGGAAGCAGTACCACCACCTCGTCGCCACCATGGAGTGCTTCTACTGCGACGTGTACGACATCGACGCGAAGGACCAGAGGAGGTACAAAGGAAGAGGCGAAGGATTCGAGTTCGAGGAGAAGGCAATCAGAGAGTCAGGAGCAAGGCGGGTCACCTACACCAACAGGAGAACGAACTGGTGGAGCAGGATGGCAACGGCACTTGACACGTACGCGAAGCTTAGACACAGGCAAAAGGGAGAGGACCAGCTCAACCAGCTTGAGGAGTGCTGCAGGAGGCTAGGCCAGGAGGGAGTCCCATCAGCGGGACGACAGGCCTCCAAGACGGCCAGGCTACACCGCAAAGTCTGGAGCCAACGCATCAGGCAGATCAACAAGGTGGAGACCAGCGTGCTGGACGGGATGGTGCAGCAGGCCAAGCTGGAAGCGCGCATAGCGTTGAAGGAGGACTTGCGAAGAGGAGCGAAGGAGTACGCGCTGTGGTTGGCCAACATGGAAGCCAACGCCCCTGGCGCGCTACACAAGATCACCAAGCCCAAGCGCAGGCATGAGGACGAGTACATCAAGGCTGGGAGGAAGGCCACGAACCCCAAGGAGAGTGTCGACCTGAAGGCGGAGGACTTCGAGGAAATGTGGAACCACGAGAGGTCGCACGAAGATGCAGTGGAGGTGATCAACATGCTCAGGAACAAGGCAAAGGAGGAGCCCACCCCGAGATGGACCTTGGAAGAGTTCGACGAGGTCATCCGCGGTATCCCCAACAAGGGCAAGGGCACAGACATGATGAACATGGACGACGTCAAGCGGCTACCAGAACGAGGTAGACAAGCATTCATAGACATGTACAACAGGTGCGAGGAGGAGGTAGCGTGGCCATGGCAGACGTTGCAGGCGATGGTCACGTTGCAGCCGAAGGACGCGGAAAGGTTAGACGAGACGGCGCTCACAGGAGGAGGAGACCGAGCGCTGGCACTACTTACATGGTTCGCGAGGACGTGGGAGTTGCTCAACAGGAACCAGATCCGAAGATGGGCCAAGGAGGTGGAGGGGGACTTCGACGCGGCCGTGACAGGCAACTCCTGCCTGCGAGAAGCCATGGCGCGGGCATTGGGCGACGAGACCTCGCAGGAGCTAGGCGCGCACTCAGCCAACGCCTTGGTGGACGTGAAGAGGTTCTACGACTCCCTGGTCTTTGAGAAGGTGGCGAAAAGGGCGCTGGAGTACGGCTCCCCCCCGAGGGTCCTGGCCATGGCGATGCTACTCCACCTCGCCCCGAGAATGCTAAAGGAGGGCAATGCGTGCAGCCTGCCCATCTACGCGAATCGCAGCCTCTTGGCAGGTTCCAGACACAGCAACAACTTAGCGAGAACTCTCATCTACCACGTGGTGAAGTCCATGACCCGCCTCGTTCCAATGGTGCAGCCTAGAACTTGGTTCGACGACGTCGGCTTGAGGGCGGTAGGAAGCGGCACCAAGGTGGAGGACTGCATCGTCAAGGCGACCTACGAGCTGGCGAAGGCGCTGAACACGGAAGGGCTCTCCATGGCGGGCAAATCGGTCCTGTTCAGCACGGACTTCGACATGACAAAGAGGGCAACCCAGAGACTGAAGAAGTTGGGTGTGACTACCAGAGGAGCCACAGAGGGGCGAGACCTAGGACTCGATCGAGCAGGCAAGACATGCACGAGGAGAGCGACTCACAGCGCAAGGCGGCGCAAAGGTTTTAAAAGGTTCGCGGCCATCACGAAGAAGCTCCAGAAGGCACGTACCCGAAGACAGGTCATCGAGCAAGGACCCATGGCACAGGTCGGGTACGGCACGAAGGCTTACGGAGCTAGCCCAACAGAGCTCACAGCCATCAGGAGGAGGTACGCGAAAGGACTAAGGAAAGCCTGGCCAGGAAGATGCCTCACCACGCTGCTGGACCTCGAAGGCGCAGACCCTGGCATCACCATACCCAGGAACCAGATCCAGGCGTGGTTCGACCTCTGGGCCAGCCGCCCAGACCTGCGAGCTGGAGCGCGACGAGCATGGCCGAAGATACGAGCGCGACTCCTAGAAGCTCCGAAAGCTACGCGATGGCAACAGCGGAGGGGCATTATAGGCGCGCTGATCCTGCAGCTTTGGGGGATCAACTGGGACGCGAAGACAGCGGACTTCTGGGAAGACGCCGCAGGAGGAGGATGGCAGTTACAACCAGACGAAGGAGATGACGACCCCACGGTGGTCCTCGACGCCATCACCAGCGACCTCAAGAAAGCAAGGTGGAGGCAAGCCAGCCTTCACCACAACGGCGAAGGACTACAGCACGGAGTTGATACCTATGACATGAAGATGCAGCTCAGGCGCCTCAGGAAGTACGGGAAGCACCAGATGTTCGGGGCCATCCTCACGGCCGCATGCGCAGGGACGTGGTCACCACAGAGGAGGAAGGACACGTTCGGGGGCGACACTTGCAACGTGTGCGAGTGCGGCGAGGTAGCGGACGACTTCCACATCATCTGGGGCGGGTGCCAATGCAGGAGCGACCACAACATCTACAAGAAGACGGAGAACCTGGTGCACCGAGCCAAGCAAGGGAAGACCGAGTGGGCAGCGTTTTGGCTTCGAGGACTCGCGCCGAAGGATTGGACGACCCCATCAGAGTGCGAGACGGAGTACGAGGCAACGCGCACGGGCTCGGCGGCCAACATCACCAGCGATAGTGACGGCAACAAGCTGTACCTGACGGAAGGCCACATTATCTGCGGTGATGGAAGCGGAGGAAAGCGTGGTGACGATGCAAGATACAGAAGGTGCGGATGGAGCTGGGTCGTGTTGAACAACCAGAGCGGCAACTGGCAGGAGGAGGCTACAGTGTACGGCCCGCTCCCTGGACCGAGACAGAGCAACAACAGGGCGGATATCACGGCGTTCCTGGACTGCCTGCAATCAACGGACGGCGAGCTCACCTTCTACACGGACTCGGAGATCCTATGCAAGGGCTGGTACGGCAAAAGGTTTCTACAGCGAGGATACAAGAAGGCGCGCGGGGACCTGTGGAAGAAGATCAGACAGCGACTCGAGGCCCGAGGAGGCGAAGAACTTATCAGGGTGAGGCACATCGAGAGCCACATGACGATCGAGCAAGCGCGTGAACGAAGAGTGCCTGAGGAGGCATGGAGAGGCAATCTCAGAGCTGACGAGTTGGCAGAGACAGCGGCGGCATCACACGCTATCCCAGAAGCGCAAATGGGCTGCTACGACTGGACCAGGGCTACATCGCACTTAGTCCGCACGCGAATCGGCCAGGCGTACATGGAGCAGTTCTCTCGGGTGAAGCCGATGACGTGGGAAGAAAAGGCGGAAGCAAAGGCCAACAGGAAGAAGGAGAAAGACGTGAAGGAGAACTACCAGCACCTCTTCGAGCACACGCCCCATCTACTACGACCTGATGGGCGCATGTGGAGATGCGAGCGCTGCAAAGAGTCCATTGGCCGCAAACAGCGTTCACAGGCAGCGAAATGGTGGCTCCAGAAGTGCAAAGGCGAAGCTCGAGAACAGGACGAACGGCACGAAGGAGCTCATCGCAACGTGGTCCTCAAAGGGAAGGTATCCCACCACACGCGCGCCATCTGCTGGTCAAGGCACAAGGAGCGCTACTTCTGCTGGACATGCGGAGCCACAGCGGAGAAGCACCTGAGCCACAAGATGCTGAAGGAATGCGAAGGATGGCCAGCGGGACAAGCATCACGGTACGCACTCAAGTCGCTGAGACGCAAGAAGGAGTGGACACCAGGAACAGGTGCGAGATGGAATCGAGACACAAAGGTCAAGTTCACGAAGTCCGAGGTCAGAAGAAATACACCAGGCACTACTACGAACATCCGCATGAAGGAGGCGATACACCAGGTCAAGCACACGGACACCACCGACGACGGGGAGCTCGTCTCTCATTCTTGCAAGAGACTTGTGCCATGAATGCAGTTGTCGAACGGATCTTGATCGACTGCTGCAAGGAGGCACCAGACCGACGGCCACGGTTTCCCCGTGGACTGCGTGAAGGACGGCGGCGACATCCGCGTGCCGTCCATCTGAGCGGGAGGCTGACGCCTGCCGCTCCCGACAGTCGTTGACTGATAATAAATTTCGGGAAAAAAATCACCCTCTCCCTCTCTCCCTCTCTCCCTCTCCCCCATCGGGGGCTCGAGCTTTCCTGGGTCAGGCTGGCCCACACTTTGGGGGCCTGCAGAGCGCCCCTCCCCGCCCGCCCTGAAGCCTGACCGCCTCCGCCGCCCGAGGCGCAGGCCGCGGCGGCGGGGGCCCGCCTGCGCGCTGCGAGGCGGAGCGCCTGTGGCACAACGTGTTGCCACCAACCTCCTCCTCCTCCTCCTCCTCCTCCTCCTCCTCCTCCTCCTCTTCCTCCTCCTCCTCCTCCTCCTCCTCCTCCTTCTCCTCCTCCTCCTCCTCCTCCTCCCCCTCCTCGAATTTCATCCATCACCGTTCATGACAGTCATCACGGGATGCCGCCGCGACCGCCTGCTGCCATCACCTCTTGAAGACTCCCTCGCCCTGGGCTCTCAGGCTCGAGGCTTCTCTGCCCCGTCGGCGCCGTGCTACCAGCTGAGGGCGCCCTCGATCGATCGACGAAGACGGCGCGACGGGAGGCGGCCTCCACCCCATAGGAGCTGTGGGCTGTGGGCGCCGCGCTGGCGTCCTTCCTGGACTGGGAGTCCGCGGAGGCCCCGGGCGGCCCCCGCCGCAGCCCGGTCGCTGCCGCGTCCTTCCGCATCGGGCTCAAGAGACGGGGGTCCATGCAAACGGGGGCCAGCCATAGCGATGGATTCTGCAGGATCTTGCAGGGACAGGGATGCATTGACCCGGGTCTGCGTGCAGGACCATGCAGGATCTGGAAGGATCCTGCAAGGCGTGACTGACGCGGGCCTGGGTTGACCCAGGTCAGTAGATCCCCCCCCGACTGCACGGCCCCCGCTGCATCAGAGCAGGCTCGAGGGTCGAGGAGGCTCTTCGCCATCTTCGGCCCCTGCAGGGAGGGGGATCTTTCTGGTTCCGACTTGTTGGCTTCTCCGCTGGGAGTTCGAAATCATCGAGGGGAAATCAGCTCGATGGCAACCATCACCGCCGCGTGGCTAGAAATACCGCACGTTTTCATCACGACGCGCACATGAAACATCGACATCTGAACTCTCCCGTGTCTAGAGCCCGTTTCTTTCTTGCTTGGGGCATGACGGGCGTCATGGCCGCCGTTCCCCCCCCTATGACGCAACGCTCCCCCCCCAGTGCGCTCTGGGCACTGCCGCCGTGCGCATTGGGATCCGCGCAAGTGTCCGCGTAGGAATCCGCACAGGAGTCTGTTCCGCAGTCGTCGTCGTCGTCGTCGTCGTCGTCGTCGTCGTCGTCGTCGTCGTCGTCGTCGTCGTCGTCGCTCGTCGCTCGTCGCTCGTCGCTCGTCGGTCATCGTCGTCGTGCGCGCGGACGCGGCTGGAGCCTGCTTTTTTAGTCAGGGCCGATGACGGCAATCATCTGGGGTGTGTGGAGGGGGTCGATGACGTCACGTTTCGCGCTGGCGGCGTCTGGCAATGCCTAGGAATAGCGGATGACGGGTCGCACCAGCATGTAGGTGGCGATCTGCACCACAACGCTTGTGTACACGGCAGTGCCTGCGTGCACCACAGCGCCTGTGTACACCACACCGCTATGTACACCACAGCAGCCGCGTGCAACACAGAGTCAGTTTGTGCCACCGTGCTTGCGGGCACAATAGCTCTTGTGTGCACCACAGCGCCTGCGTACACCACATCAGCCGTGTGCAACACAGCACCAGTGTACACCACAATGCCTGCGTGCATTGCAGTGCCCGTGTACACCACGGCGCCTGTGTGCACCACAGCAACCGGGTGCAATACAGCACCGTTGTTGCATATAGAATTTTAGAAGGAATCCTTATGAGAAGATGGAGCGCTTGTGGATTCCACAGAAAACAGTAGAAAGGAATCCTTATGGAGAAAGGAGCGCCGCTGGAATTTACGAGTCCTTCCGATTATGCCCGCGCCACCCTAACTTCTCCCATTTGCGTCCAGGAGCCTCCAGGTAAATTGGCCGTCCGAGAACCAAGTGGACCGATTCAATAGACCATTCTGCGGTGCACGCGGAGATGCACACGTGCGCTGTAGCGCCGCCGGCCCGCACGACAGGGAATAAGGAAGAGGAGGACGGTGAGGATGAGGTGGAGGTGGGGGAGGAAGGAGGAGGGAAAAACGTCGCATTCGATTATCAGCACTTTCCTGGCGTGGCGTTTAGTTGTCCGCAGCAGATCCTCACGTACATGCTCGTTCTACCTGTCCTATGTACGCAGGCACTGTTGTGCACACCGGCGCTACGATGCACGCGGGTGTTGTGGTGTAGACAGGCGCTGTGGCGTGCACGGGCGCTGCGGTGCACACAAGCATTGTGGTGTACACAGGCGCTGTGTTGCACATGGTTGCTGCGGTGTACACATGTACACTGGCGCTGTAGTGTACGCGAGCACTGTGGTGTACACAGGCGCTGAGTTGCACACGGTTGTTGCGGTGTACGCAGGCGCTGTGGTGTACACGCGCGGTGTGATGCACGCGAGCACTGTGGTGTACACAGGCACAGTGGGGAGGATCGCCACCTAAATGCTGCTCGCGTCGTCGTCGTCGTCGTCTTCGCTCGTCGCTCGTCGCGTCGTGCGCGCGGGCGCGGCTGTGGTGCCGGAGCCACGGCGGGGGGGGGCGTCACGTCTATCCCCCCCCCGCCCCTCACCCTCCCCCCATGACGCCCGTCATCGCCGAACATACAGAAACGACGTACTCCTATGAGGCCCGTTTCGGGCCCCTGGGCCGCAGCCACAATGCAGGAAGAAAGTTGCACACAGAGTGCAACACAAACAGACAACAAAGTCTGGGGATAAAGGGCTTCTCAAGCTGGACCCCGGGACGGCTCCAGCCAGCGACTGACTTTCAAATGATTTCGAGACACGCGCCGCCCACCATGTCGCCGCCGTTGTCTTCGTCGTCGTCGAACGACGATCTTTTCGTTTCGGAAAACAACGTCTTCTTTTCGACATCGCCGACGGCGTCGAAGTCGCCACGCCATCGCTGTTGCCGTCACCGTATTCGATGTTACCGTCGTCGTCTTGTGGCTGTGTGCGAAATGTCTGAAGGCTCTTGTCTCCATGGCCGGACGCGGCTTGGAACATTGGCCAGGATCGACCCAGAAAGAGGTCCAGGATTGGTTTGATCTGAGCTTGGGTCGGCCGAGGTTCGAAGTGCGAGGACCGAGAGCAAGCTTCCGATCTGTGTTGGGCTGTTTTGTCTTGCATTTTCTCGCCCCACGGACCTTCGAACGCGTCGCCATCGTTGGCATGTTGGCATCAGGCCGAAGTGGGACGACTCCATCCTGGCCAGGTAGCAAAGGCTTGTCTGGCTGAGAATACCACCAGAATGAACACCAGTTTGAACGTATTGGGGACCGCCCAACACGCCCACCGGGCGCGGAGGGATGCTGAAGAAGTTGAGGCCTGCAAGCGGCGGTCCGCAATGCTTGCGCGATGTGAATCACGCGTCGTTATCATTGCGCGACATGATGAACAGGCCCGTTTCCCACGCTGCTGAGATCCTCCAACCGTTGGTGTGCGTGCGTGCGTGCGTGCGTGCGTGCGTGCGTGCGTGCGTGCGTGCGTGCGTGCGTGCGTGCGTGTGTGTGTGTGTGTGTGTGTGTGTGTGTGTGTGTGTGTGTGTGTGTGTGTGTGTGTGCGTGCGTGCGTGCGTGCGTGCGTGCGTGCGTGCGTGCGTGCGTGCATGCGTGCGTGGGTGTGTGTGTGTGTGTGCGGGTGTACGTGTAAATGAGTGTGTGCGGCCCTGTCGCTGCTCAGCGAGACGCTGGGTTTGAAACTGAAGCCCGAGCGTCCCCGACCCATCATCTGTTACAGCATCCCCGACCCACCATGTCACTGCCGACAGTGGCAGCTGGCCCTGGCAGCAGCGGCGAGGTCGAGGAGGACACATAGATGCATGGAGACGTCGACGACGAGGTGGAGGAGGTCGTGGAGGGCGTCCGGTGCTCCGACATGGCCAGCAAGATAATCTACACACTTTCATTGCCGTGTATCACGTTTGCCAAATACCCGATGTGAGTTTCGAAGTCAGGGATGGAGATGGCGAGGAATGTGACAAGAGGGTGGCCATGAAGGAGGGAGGGGGACGTCGGGATGAAGGAGGCCGTCGGCGTGGCCGCGGGGATGGGCGTCGATGGGGGGTTCGAGGAGGCGGTCCGCGCAGTGCTGACGTCCAGCGACGCCAGGGAGCGGGGGGGGTCTGGTGCTCTCCTGGCACCTTGCTTGCATCGCGGCGGACGGCACCAAGGAGGTTCAGGAGCAGGGTGGCGAAATCCTGAAGCTTGTCCCCAACCCTGCGCACACGAATCCCTTCGATGCTACACCACCAATTTCGCCGATGTTATGCCACGAATCGCTGCCCTGTTTGCTACATACCCTCATTGCCGTGTATCACGTTTGCCACATACCCTATGTGAGTTCCGAGTCCCGGAATGGGGATGGCGAGGTGGGTGGCGAGGGGGGGGCCATGGAGGAGGAGGGGGACGTCGGGATGAAGGAGGCCGTCGGCGTGGCCGCGGGGATGGGCGTCGATGGGGGGTTCGACGAGGCGGTCCGCGCAGTGCTGACGTCCAGCGACGCCAGGGAGCGGGGGGGTCTGGTGCTCTACTGGCACCTTGCTTGCATCGCGGCGGACGGCAACAAAGAGGTTCAGGAGCAGGGTGGCGAAATCCTGAAGCTTGTCCCCAACCCTGCGCACACGAATCCCTTCGATGCTACACCACCAATTTCGCCGATGTTATGCCACGAATCGCTGCCCTGTTTGCTACATACCCTCATTGCCGTGTATCACGTTTGCCACATACCCTATGTGAGTTCCGAGTCCCGGAATGGGGATGGCGAGGTGGGTGGCGAGGGGGGGGCCATGGAGGAGGGAGTGGGACGTCGGGATGAAGGAGGCCGTCGGCGTGGCCGCGGGGATGGGCGTCGATGGGGGGTTCGACGAGGCGGTCCGCGCAGTGCTGACGTCCAGAGATGCGAGGGAACGGGGGGGGGTCTGGTGCTCTCCTGGCACCTTGATTGCATCGTGGCAGACGGCAGCACGGTAGTGCAGGAGCAGGGCGGCGACATCCTGAAGCTTGTCCCCAATCCTGCGCGTGCCGATCCTTTCGATGCTACATCACCAATCTTGTCGGTATTATGCCACGAATCGCTGCCTGACGACAGCATCCCAGACCCAGAGGGACAGGGCGAGCTTGCCTTGCGCCGCCTTGTTGTGAACGGCTGCTTTGCGCCGCCGCGGCCCGCGTCGCTCGACCGCGACAGCGCAGGCCTAATCGAGCACTGCGGCAGCGGGCGGTCGCGCGCGGGCGGAGAGAACTGGCCCGACGTCCCCGGTGGGCGGAACGCGAGGACGACGCCGTCGATCCCCCGACAGGCACGGACTCTCCTGCAAGCTCGAGGGCGTCTTCCTGGTCCGAGTCGGCGAGTGAGATCGGAGGTGCGCGATCAAAGGTCGAGAGTCCTCTCGCGCCGGCTGTTTTGCCGACTACTTCGCGGATGGCAGACTGGCAGCCGTCGCTGCGGGCGGGTGAGGCAGTGACGCGCGACAGACGTGCGCCTCCCACCAGTCCCCCGCCGATCATGACCCGCGCGACCGATGCGGAGGCTGTGTCACTGGACGGACTTCGCCTCGCCCAGCTAGCGCAAGGCGTCTTCTGCCCGATGGTCAAACAGGGCGGGCTGACCCCCCGTAGACTCGCGAACGCTGGGATGTTTTCACTCGGGACTATAGGACAAATGGGAGGGGTGAGCTCGCCCAGACATGGCCCTACGACAGGTCACGATCGACTTCCCGTGTTCCCTACCAACGCGCGGGCGGAAACCGGCTGGCACTTGCGCCCCGCCAGCTTCTGCAGGACTGACCGGGCAGCCCGACGCAAACGAGGCCCTGACTTGGCCGGACACCTGGCTGGCCGGGCGGCTGCCTCCAAGGAACAGCTCGTGGCCTGCGCCGAGCTGCTCGGGGGCCAGATCAAATATAGTTTGGAGAGCTGAGTGCGGCCAGTGCGGCGGCAACGCGCTGGACCCGCGGCTGCGCGACGTGAGCTTCCTGCACGGCTTCCTCGCAGCGCGCGCAGGGCGCCGCGGCGCAGTTTTCTGATTCACCACCCACCAAACCACCCCAACCCAACCCGAAGGCTCAAATTTATCCTCGATTTCCAGTGGGGTGGGGTCGGGGAACGTTGAAAAAACACATGGTATCCGTACCCCCCCCAACCCGAAATTCGGGTCGAATTCGGGTCTTCGGGTTGGGTTGGGGTGGTCTGGTAGGTAGTCACTGATTCGGGCGGTCCTGCGCAGGACGATCGCTACTCTGTCGCCGTTGGCTTTGTCGCGCGCCGACCCGTCGCTCATGTCACGCGCCGGTGCGTCGGCTGCTGTGGCCCGTGGCTCACTGATTTGTCGCTCTGGGCGCGCGCCGCTGTCGCGTCGCCCTTGGTTCCGCCGTGTTTCACCTGCCCCTGCTTCCGCCGCTCCCGCCCTCGGGCCCCGCGGCGTGCTGTTGTCTGTCGGAGGGGGCGCGGCGTTCCTGCCACCCTCCGGCGGCGCCCCCCCCTCCGCGGTGGCTTGTCGGCCGCCCCCGCCCCCATCCTCCTCGTGGGTCGCGGGGTTCGCTCGGTCGCCGTCGCCGTCGGCCGCGGGCTCGGCCGCGTCGCGGGGGCTCCCGCCGTCGTCGTTCTCGGCCCGCCTCCGGCTTCTGCCTCGCTAGTTCTTTCCCCCTGTCTCCCCCTTCCTTACGGGTCGTCCCCGCCACGGAGTTGAGCCCCTTTGGCGCCTGGAACTCGTCGCTCCTGGCGCCGCGTCTTCGGGCCCCCCGAGCTGTTCGCGGTTGGTCGGGATTCATGGCTCCGCGTGGGCGGGCCTCCTGGGGGGGTCTTGCGTCTGCCGCCGCCGAGTTTTGTCCTGCATGTGATGGTTTTCTCCAGGTTCGGCGTGGGCTCTTCAACTGGGCCGTCTGCGAGCCTTGCGGCGCTTTTCGAGTCTTGTCTGAGACGTCTTTGGTCGATTTGGTGGCGACTTAGACTTAGATGGCGGCGCGCACAGGGCATCTCGCGTCTCTGCGTCCGTGGCTTGGGCGGTGCCCTACCAATCTACTTTGTCCGGCGCTTCGGTTGCAGCTTTCTCTCCGGCCAGCGTGTACATTGGCCTCGTTTGGTGGCGCGACGACCCGCCAAGGATCTACGGCATGGCTTCATCTAGCCGTTTTCGGCCCATATCAACGCGGTTGGTCTGCGAGTGTTGCCCTGTCCCCGCCTAGCACGTAACCAATTGATGCTAATGCATCGGGCGTCGCTGGTCCGTAGGTTTGCACTTTGCCCATCAGTTTCGCCAGGTCGTAGCTTCTTCAGCGCGATGTGTTTCCTCATCTGGTTTGGCAGCTTTACAAATTTATGTATGTGTCTTCGTTTTTAACATATATCCGATATTCCGTAGCTCGAATTTGAAACAAATTGTTGCTGGCGCTCCAATTTTGTCGACTCGATATGTTTGTTCCTCGTGCTGTTGGCCGATACACTTGGTTTTTGCAGCGTTTCCTGTTTTCGACCAGTCATCTGCACGGCCTTGGTTGGTCTTTTCATCATGGCGCGTTCAACTAATTTCGCTCGCGCCTCCAACTGCCGACCGCGCCTGAGGCTCCTCTGCTCCGCAAATGTGTGTGTGTGCGTGTGCGTGTGCGTGCGTGTGCGTGTGTGTGTGTGTGTTGTGTGTGACAGTGCGAGTGTGAGTGTGCGTGTGCGTTTGCGTGTGCGTGTGAGTGAGTGTGTGTGTGTGTGTGTGCACCCGCCGGTGGTAAAGGGCCGAGCTGGGGTCCATGGTGCAGCGGGGCACGGTCGGAATGCGACCGAGCCACCGTGCCACTGTTGTCCTCATTCTTGATGGCGCGGCCGCGTTCAACAAGTTTGGTTCACAGTGACGGAGAAATCTTGAAAGCCGGAGCTGCCAATAGCGCGCAACCCAAAAGAAACGATACGAAATGTGCCAGTACGCAACGCCACCACGGAAGATTGTGGTCGCTGCCGGGGACCAGCGGCACCCATTTTGCATCAGGGAAGGAAGACCTGAAAACAAAAGTCTTGAGTCAAAACGGATTCGGCCCGTGGGGGCAGGGGGAGCAGGATGGATAATCAGGATCACGGGAGGCCGCAACCAAAACACATGCGTTCAGTCAGCGATAGCGGAAGTATCAGGAGGACGAAGAGGAGGGGCAGGATAGACACGTCGGGCCTTGCTCCAAATCTGCACGGGGCAGCAAGGGAGGAGGAGCAGACGGAAGAGGAGGAACAACGACAGCTGCAAGTGCATGCTTTCAATCAGCGAAGGGACGATCAGCATGAGGATGAAGAAGAGCAGGAGGACACACACACACACACGCAAATACACACATACCTACACACACCACGGACATTCTCCATGTTTGTACACAAAAGAAAGAGGAGAAGTAGGAAGATAATGAATGGGAGGTGGACGGGTATTAGTTCGAGGGAAGGAGAAGGAAGAGGAGGAGGAGGAGGAGGAGGGGGATAAGGAGGAGGAGTAGGAAGAGGAGGAGGAGGAGGAGAAGGAGGAGGAGGAGGAAGCGGGGGGGAAGGGGGGGGGGAGGAGGAGGACGAGGAGGAGGACGGGGAGGAGGAGGAGGAGGAGGAGGAGGAGGAGGAGGAGGAGGAGGGGGACCCCTTCGAACCGCCCAGAACCTTGGAGAAAGTTGTACATCCGCCAACACTATGGAAGAAACAAGAATTTCCTCTTTCTCTCCAATCCTCCCCCCCTCTTCCTCCCAGAAGTTCCAGGACTTTCTACAGGCCTCAGGAGGTCCCGGGAGGTTTCCGCAGGCCCTCGGATGTCAAAAACGGCCCCAAGAAGCAAAAACTACTGTTTTCATCATCCTTCCTCCTCCTTTTCCCTCCTTCTCCTCCTCCCCCTCCTCTTCCTCCTCCTTTTCACCCTCCTCCTCCTCCTCCCTCTCACCCTCCTCCTCCTCCTTTTCATCCTCCTCCTCCTCGTCCTCCTTTCCTCCTACTCCTCCTCCCCCTCCTCCTTCTCCTCCACCTTTTTCCCCTTCTCCGTTCATCCTTCCCATCATCAGCATACATTATCGTCGTCCTCCTCCTCACTCCTTCTCCTCGTTCCTACTCCGCACCCCTCACTTCTAATCCTCCTTCTCCTCCATCCTCCTCATCATCATTGTCATCACCATCATCATCGTCCTCCTCATTACTACCACTACCGACATCATCATCATCATCATCATCATCATCATCATCATCATCATCATCATCATCATCATCATCATCATCATGATCATCACCACCACCACCACCAACATCATCATCATCATCATCATCATCATCATCATCATCATCGTAATCACCTCCTTCACCATCATCACCATCATCATCACTAACATTGTCCTCCTCACCACCACCACCACCACCACCACCATCATCATCATCATCATCATCATCATCATCAGGAGTATCACCATCATCATAAGCATCATCATCATTATTGTCATCAGCATCATCACAACCATCATCACCACCATTACCATCACCATCACATCATCATCAGCATCATCAACATCATCAGCATATTCACCATCACCATCATCGTCACCAGCATCCAGCTTCATCATTATCATCTTCAGCATTATCTGCATCGTTCTCCGCACCAGAATCATCATTTGCATCGTCACCATTGTCGTCATCGTCGTCATCATAATCATCACCATCATCATCTCCATCACCATCACAATCATCATCAGCAGAAGCAGCAGCATCATCATCACCATCACCGTCACCATCACCATCACAATCATCATAATCATCATCATCATCATCATCATCATCGTCATCATCACCATCATCATCATCGTCGTCGTCGTCGTCGTCATCATCATCAGTATCATCATCAGCGACCCCCCTGAAAGAAGAGGGCTTTCTCGCGCCTGCTCCCCGCGGGCCCGCTCGCAGGCTGAGGGTGGCTCCAGCGGGGAGTCCGGCTCAGAGGCGGGTTCCGACGGCGGCGCCGCGCCTGGCGAGGCTCACCGTCGTCGTCGTCGTCATTGTCGTCGTCGTCGTCATCGTCGTGGGCGTGGTCGTGGTCGTGGTCGTGGTCGTGGTCGTCGTCGTCGTCTCCTCGATCCCTACCTCCTCCTCCTCCTCCTCCTCCTCGTCCTTCCTGTTCATTTTCCTGTCTTGGTGCAAAACGTTGAAGCTTGGGTGCGGGTCCCTGGTGAGCCCCGTGGCTTGCGGTCCAGGGCTCCCATGGGGTGTGCGCGCTTCCCTCGGCACGTTGAGTGGCAGGTGGCCCTCCGTTGTGTGGAAGCTGCACAGGATCAAGCCGGGCTTCAGCGGGCTTGGGATCAGGTGATTCATACCATCGAGTGTGACCTGTCGGACAGGTGGTGCAATTCGCCACGAGAACCAGTGTCCCATGCTGGACGAGGGCGGCCTGTTCAATTTTTCTTTTCCAAGCTGGAGTGTAACCCACCACGGCGACGTACGTATCAGAGCAAGGAGACGGCGGCTTTGCAGGTAGCGGCGAGATGGTTGAAGCATGGACGTCATACATGGCAGCTGTTTTGCGACAGGGCTCAGAAGCTAATGGCGGCGAATGTTATGTGTGCAGTAGCGACGGCCCAAACTACACAGTTGGTGCAGACTGTGGCGGGGCTCCTGCAAGTTTATTGCAAGGTACGTCGCTCGCCATTGATGCCGTTGCTCCCAGCCGGTCTCCAGACGTTCCTCAGGCGGAAGATCGAGGTCTGGTTGGATAGTACAGCGGGTGAGTGTACGGAGGTTTTTTTATGTTAAAAAAATGAGAAAGTTGCGGAGAAGGCGAAGATCCAGTTTGAACGTGAACAGTCCAGCGCTTGGAAGACTTGGGCTCGCGAGTCTCTGGAGAAGGGTGCTAGTATGGCCCACCGTTTTACTCGTGTGCATGCGTTGCAGGAGGTGCTGGACCAAACCACGATGGCGAGCCCACGCCAGTTGGTCGACAGAGACTTGTGCAAGTGAAAGGGTATTTGGACCAAGCGTGGGCTCGCGCAGTCCCACAAGCCTTCGAATTTCCACACGTGGGACCAGCTACCCGGGATGACGGTACTGTAGAGTGTTTGCGTTCGGCGTGTTTGAAGTTTACGGAGACGACGGCGGCTGGGCAGATGAAAGTATCACCGCGGGCTCTATGGCAGGTGTCAGATGTTGGATTTATCGTCGTGCCGGGGCTTTTTGGCAGATGCGAGCCTTGGGGGTGCTGGCCAGACAGACGTATATACACTACATTGGTCGGGCTGCCCGAAGAAGGAGGAGGGTCTCGATTGATTGCGATAGTCAAGTCGCTGGTCAGGCTTTGGGCACGGGCGCGCAGTATCATACCGAAGCAGTGGGTCGTCAGTACGGAGAGGAGCGAAATCTGGGGCGCAGGTGGTGCAGGACGGAGCTCGACAGCTGCTGCATTCGAACGCAAGTTGTATGCGGAGACGGCTGCGCTACTTGGATGGCATGCGGCTACGGCAGCCGTCCACGCTTGAAAGTGCGACGAATCTACAAGTCCTGGCGAGTTTCTCAACGAAGCTCGACATCGTGGATTTCCGCTACGGCTGGTTTGGATGGTGTTGGATTACCACCGAGAGCCACGAGTACTGAAGGCCTTCGCCTCGCACTCCGAGCCCTTTGTCTCATGGCAAATGCTCCTCGCAGGCTGTTCCCACTCCACCTCTCTCGTCACCCTCCTCGCGCTGCGCGCGGTGCGCAGGGTTGGGCCGCGCGGGGTCGCGCCGAGCGCCTTGGTAGACGACCTTGCGACGCAGTGTGTGGGGGGGGGGGGCGGTGGGACAGGGTGGGCGGGGTGAAGAACCTGTGGGGTGCCCCGGCAAATTTCACGGCAGATGTGGTGCAGCTAGGGATTGTGCTGCAGGACTCAGCGTCGGGCAAGTCAGGAGATGTTGCCGGCGGCCGCGCGGACCGCCGAGCCTCTCGCCGTGGGGCGGGGGCAGCTTGACTCGAGGTGAAACGCAACGTGCGCGACCCAGGACATGAGCTGTCAGGGCGAGATCGGGGCATGCCGAACACTAGAGCTCGACTTGCCAAACTCCGGATCCGAATGCGTACGACGTATCCCGTGCGCAAGGCTGCGGGTGACAAGGTGTCGCGGCTCTGGAGGACTGGTTTGCTCCCTGGGGCTAGCCATTGCTGTGGAGTGTCGGGCGCTACCGACGCCGAGCTCCGTGGGCTCCGAGCTGCTGCCGGGGCTCTCGCGGGCGCCAGCGGTCGGGGGGGGGGGGGTCCATCGCCTTCTACCTGGCTGCGCACCCCGACCCTTGGTACGATCATATTTTGGAGGCTACGATTGGGCCTTTTAAGCACTCTGCCGATGTATTGTGGATGGCCCTAGCGGACAAGCGAGCTGAGACGTTCGCGTGGAGGCATGCGTCGGGGCCCATGGCAGTCGTTCGCCCGTCTCTGACGAGGGTCGATTGGTCGATGGAGTCGTCGATTTTGGTTCGTTCTGACCTGGGGGGGGGGTTCTCGCTATTGCATGTCGGCCCTCATCGTATGGTGCAGCTGCTGCGCGCATACATTCAGAGGTGGCAGATGCGCAGGGCCCGCCCATTTTCCGGATCCCCCTGGCGATTGCAAGTTGTGGCCCGGCGGGGCCCGAGCTTCGGTTGGGTCTGAAGGGGCCGCGCTCAGGACTGCGAAGTCGGCTGGGATCGTCAGATCCTTGTGGGCCAACTCTTGGCGGCTGAAAGATCATCTGCGCGCGGCAGGGCACGTGCCCGACCTGGAGCGTAGGGGGCGCGGTGCCCCATGTGAGCCCATCGGCCACCTCCCCCTGAAGCGCCCTGCGCTGCGGGAGACCCTTCCCGAAGGAGAGGACGAGGTGCCGATCTCTGAGGCTCAGGGTACAATCCGTGATGTTTTTTGTTTGCCCAGGGTCCGATGGCGCCGCGGGGTTTCAGATCTGCACTGTTTTGAACTCTCGGCGGGCATGCCGTTGCTTCCAGCCCCCGTGCGCCGCCGCCCCGAGGCCCGCCGCGCCTCTGGCGGGGCGACTGGCCCCCGCCCCCCCCCCAGGCCAGCGAGGCAACGTTGTGTTCACGGGCGGCTCGGGGAGGCGGTCCAATCAGCCTGAAATTCGGAGCTGCGGGTGGGCGTTTGTCCAGATGCCTGACGCAGGGCCCCCGTTGCGCGCCTGCCGCGGGCGGCTCGCGGGGCCGAGCCAGACGGCTGGCGCTGGCGAAGCTGAGAGAGTGGCGATGATGCGTGCCTTGCAAAATCTACCGACTGTGGATATTGTAGCCACTGGCCTCCTCGGGCTGGCCCGCGAAGCGTTCGAATGGAGTTCGGTCGCCGCTAGCTCAGCAAGCAAGGGCGCAGCTGCATGGCGGCAGATCCACGCCGCGGTCGAAGCGGGGGGGGGGCGCCCTATTGTGCCCATGAGGGCCGCGATGGTCCTGCGTGTCTCGGGCCCGAGCAGGGCCCCCCGTTTTGCTGTGCCCTCGGGAATGCCTGGCCGACCTGTGCTGCTAAACTGGGGGCCTCGGCTGATGCTGTCGGGCGCGGGGCGGCTGACTTGCGTGGACTTGCCCTGAAGGAATCCCATGGGTTTCCTAAGTATCTGGCCTGGGCTGGGGGGGCGTCTCAGTGAGCCGGGGCTTTGTTCGTCGGGGTCGCCGTCTGAGGGGGCCAGAGCGAGAGCCCCCCAGCCCGAGCTGCGCGCGCCCGTTGTCTCTATCGCGGGACCTGGAGGTCACCACCTCTGGCGCAGAAGGACCAGGGGCGAGTGGAGATGTCGTGAGTGCGGCACGTTCACCAGAGTCGAGGCTGGCATCCGCTCTCTGACTGCCGCTGCCGTCCATCGCCGTTCGACCTTTGGAAAGCGAATCGTGTGTTTTGTCGAGAACCCACTGATTGGGGGTCGGTTGTGTCCTGGGGGTGCTCGCGCGGCGCTGGAGGCGGCCGACAGGCTGCTTGAGGGAGCCGCCCTGGGCCCCGAGGGCTCGGCGAAGGCCCCTGTGGGGCCCGTCGGTGGGGATTTCTTGGGCGCTGACCCCCGCGGGCGCCGAGCCTGGCCTGGTGGTGGCTGTCGGTTCGGCTTCGGGTGAGGGGTCGGCTGCGGCGCTCGCTGGGCGGGCCTTGGGGCCTGGGCCGTCGCGCGGTGGGGCCCCTGCGTCTTCCCTGGAGCCTCGGGCGTCGGCGTCTCGGGGGCGGGGCCCTGCGGCCTGGGCCCTGGTCCACGACCTTGGCCATCGGATGGCCGAGGTCAACGGCTTGGCTTTCTGTGAACGCTGCGCCTGCCACGTCGGGGAGTCGGGTAAAGTGGTGGCCCTCAAGCGGCCCTGCAAGGGCCCCTCGGACCACCCCCCGACTTTGGCGGTGCAGAAGCACCGTATCAAACGGATGAGGGAGGGCAAGCCACCGCGATAGTGGTTCGTCAGCCCTCCCCGTCCTTCGATTTCTCCTAGCGCTTGCGTTCGGGCGAGTTGGACGCATTCCTGCTTGTCTCTCTCCCTCCTCCTCCTCCTCCTGCTCCTGCTCCTCCTCCTCCTCCTCCTCCTCCTCCTCCTCCTCCTCCTCCTCCTCCTCCTCCTCCTCCTCCTCCTTTCCCTTCTCACCCTCCTCCTCGTTTTCCTTATCCTTGTCTTCCTCCTCTTCCCCCTCCTCCATCCGCACCCCCAGGCGTGTCGGTAGGGCGGGGCGGGCGTTTCGCTTGAGATTTTTCGCCACGTATGATCCGGAAGCTTGAACTTTGCAGCAGCTCCAAGGATGGAGCGTTTTCAAATTCGGGCTCTCCGCCCTAGCGGTGCGCCCATTCGTCTTGAGGGTTTGCCAGCTAGAAGGGTGGAAAAAGGGGTCGTTTTCAACATGGACATCTCGCTTGAGCGCCGCGCGCATTCGTTCTACATGTGTGCAACAGCTACAAGAATGGAGAGGGTCACTTTCAAATGGAGCTCTCGATCCAGCGCCGTGCACAATCGTCTTGATCTTTGACCATTCGCAATCGCTACAAGGGTAAATGGGGGCTCGTAATATATAT